CTTTCATCCCAGTTTTCCTACACATAAACAACTTTAGCTACAAATATGCCTTTTATAAATAAAAGGAGAATTGTAATTTCCACTCAATCACATAAAAATACATCATGCACACGTGCGCCAAGCGGTACATAGACAGGTACCACATACTTTTCAACGGCCATCTGTACCTTGATTTATTTAGTGAGTCTTCCTAATGCTGAACAATAATTTGTTTCCAGCTTCTTAGTATTCCAAATATGGCTTCAATCAACCACCTTGTACATGTGTTTTTATACATGCTCTTACTTCTGCTAAACTCTTAAGAGTAGTATTCCTCAATTAAGAGACTAGGAATGTTAAATCTTAATACATGCTACCAAATCAGCCTCTTAATAGGGTCAATCAATTATACTCTCATACTGCATGGGTATCCACTTGCCCAAATCCTTCATTGCACTCAACATTATCAATTTTCAAAATTGTTTCCATGGACTTGAAAAACTGTTTTCATTCACATCTCCTGAGCATCTTCTCATGTATTTTTTGGCCATCTGTGAAACTTCTGTAAATGCACTTCATACCCACTGTCTATTTTCCCATTGACTATCTTTCTCTTGTTGTTCCCTCATACATGCTCACTGCTCAGTCCTCCCATCTATGCTAGTGGAAATCACTCCCCAATGCCCACTGCCAACTTTGCCCTTAGTTTAAGGGGAGAGCATCATCTAAAGACATACCAGCTTTATGAATTAATTTAAGCTTTTACTGTTTTCATGTCCCAGAATGCAGGAATAAAAGACATTTATCAATTACCAATGAACAAAAGTCTAAAGCTTTAACAGTGCTCCAGAAAGTTCAAGTACAAAAGAGACAATTTATTCTGGAAAGCGTCACACCACTGCATACGTAGCCATGGAGTTATTTTCTTCACTTGAATATTTTCATGTGTACACACAGCAGTAACTCACAGCACACCTTGGCACACTATGAGTAGCCTTAAAGAGACAGAGCCAAAGACGCTCATAAGAAATTTTAAAAATAATTACATATAATTCTTTCATTAGTATATATAAAAACATCTGGATGTTAAGAAAAGCTGAAATAAAATGCACCAAAAAATAACAAGAGTTTGGTTTGAATGGTGAGTTTTAGAAAGGAGTATTTTTTTTCTTCTTTTCTTTAAACTCCCTAAATGGTGTTTTAATTTCATTTTTTAAAAGTAAACTTTAATTCTGAAATTAGTAGTGATGGTTGCACAAATATGTGAATATACTGGAACACATGGACTTACATATTTTTAAAAGATGAATTTTAGGATATGTGCTTTATATTTCAGTAAGGTTGCTATAATTTTGAAAGTGGGTTTTAAAAGTTAAAATACTATACTGTGTGGGCAGAGGGTGTAGGGGAACTCTCTATGCTTTCTACTTATTTTGCTATGAACCTAAAACTGCTCTAAAAAAAAAAGTCTATTAAAAAATACTACAGTGTATTCTTTGTTAATTTCCCATTAATTTTATATTTAAAATTCTGGAAGGTAGCAGAATATATAAAAGCTATAGCAGGACAAACTTCTTTCCAATTTCTTGTTCTTGGCAATGATATCTGATGAGCATGAAAGTGGCTTCTTAAAGGATCAGTGAAACGAGTGTTGCATATTAAAAAACTTCTGGGTGACTCATATCCTATGGCAACTTATAGACCCCTGTGTAGAGTGATTAATGCTTCCATTATGCTTATTAGAAGTAACAGTATTAATATTGAGAGAGAAAGTATAGTTAGAGATGTCCATTCCTTTTCTTTCTCATCTGACTCAGGTTCTGGGTTCCCAACTGATGATTAATGAAGATTTCATTGCGTTGAACTATTTCATATTTAAAAAATGAGGTTCCAGTTTAATTAAAAAGCCACAGAAAAGAAATTAATTCCATTTATCAATATCATAGTGTAATGGACGAGAGCTCTCTGGGGACTGGCTATGCTATTAGAACTTTCTATTTGAATGCTAAGCCACAAAGAAAGCGAGAACTTACAACAAATACTGCATCTGGAATGCTCAGAGAGAAGCCGGCATGATTGCCAAGATAAAGGTGAAGCTGTTTTGCTCTAATCCATTTTTATTCCCCAAATAAGTGGAACAAAAGAATATGTCATCGTCTAGTCTATGGAAAGAAATACCATCCCCAACTTGGGAACCTAAAAGTCAGAAGTTTAACTTGCAGTGATGTGAAATCTGTCTTTGGAAGCTCAAAGAAGAGAAAATGTCTTTCTGGAAGGAAATTTGACAAGTTCTTAGGGAGTGAGGCATAAAGCACAGCAATTTGGTTAGATTTCAAACTAAAGGGATAAAGAAATATTAGGTTCTCTTTAAGCCGGTTCCTCACACCTAAATTAACTTACTGACAAAAGCATGAAAAAGATGCTATGAGAGTGAAAATATCTATATAACCAAAGATTTGCAAGTTGGAGCTAGTGGCCTGCATTATACATTATTGTCACAACATTTCAGCACTTCTACTTTCAATATGCTACTTTGATAGTATTTTTGTGGGCTACATCTCATTTAAGGGGCTATTTTTCCCTGATCATCTTTCCATGGCAGTGTAACTCAGGAGGAACACCTGTGACACATATATATATCAGGCACGACCACTCCTAAAGAACTCAGGGCCTTGCCTGCTGCGTATGCATCAGGAGTCAGGGCTGACTGCCCCTGAAATGCCACTCCACTCCAGAGGTAGTGAAAAGGAGCCCACCAAAACCTAAACAAAAACCCAGAAGCTGGTAAAAAGTAAGGAGGTAAATAATGACTGAAAAACAGGAAACTGACTACTGAATACTACATAATCCATGGCTCCTCGGATTTTATGAAATCTGAATCACGAGTGACCAAAATAAAAACTAGTCCCCTAACAATATTTTGGTCTTATTTTAAAATATATTATTTTTTCTACACCATTTATTTTCTCCTTCAACTTTAAAAGCACACATTTTTATTGTCTTTTTTGGTTTACTTTTAGTCAGCATGATGAAGGGACACATTTTCTCTTTCCATTTCACAGACACTAAAGGGACATGGCCATGACTCTAAGAAAAATGATATTTGTGAAATAACATAGAGCATAGTACCCGGCACACAGTAGATAATAAGACTATCATACATAGAGAGTGAGAGCTCTTCTTTGGAAGGCTTTATGCTTCTACTTCTTCACAGGTACTAAGTAGTTCAGTGTATACTTTCTAATTGTTTTGTTTCCACCTATTAATATTTCCATACTAAGCACTAGCCCCCAACCCACTCCAGGACCAGATGGGTAGGCCATCTTGCTGTATTATACAAGAGTAGGAATGAGGCTATTATGGGTCTGCTTCTTCACTGATTAGTGCTAGAGCCAACTTCTAATGTCAAAGGCCTACGATAACACAAACTCCCTCAGGACAAAGTACCCCTTCTCGAAGTTCATGGTCAGTGGGCTGCACATTTTCTTATATCTCAAAGAAATGATAGCTTAAGATGTATGGGGGGATATATCACCATTTTATGTGTACATTTTTGATTTCCAAAAATGGAATCTGGTTTATTTGGGATTTAAGTAAGAGATCAACTCCTTTATGCTCCTAAATACCAACAAGTAACCATAGAACTGTGCAGATGAATCACACAGCAAAGTAAATTAGTGATTTCTAATGAGGAAAGATAAGAAATAATGTAATCGAAGAAGTCATGGAATCAAGAAAAATAAAATACATTTCTTAAATTAAAAAAAAAAATCGCCCTACACAATAAGGAAATAGAGAGGTCTAAGACTTTGTAGCCTCCCTAGAGATGTGGTAAAAGTCTCATTGTCTGAGTCACAGAAAATTATGCTGGGCTAGGCTTTTACAAACACACTGTAAAGTCATATATTGGCCAGAGGGTGCGTGTTGGTGGTGTGGGGTGAGAGGGAGGAAGGAGGAGAAGTTTAGTGTCGGCATATTGCAGAATGTCTTCCTTGCTCCGCTGTTCCTAATTTTGACTTCTACTTTCCTAAAGAGAAAAGTGTGTAACGTCTAAATAAGCTATTTTCAACCTACTATTTTTTCTAAAGGGAGAGAAACTCTGCTTTCAATGAACTAAAACAAGGCAAAAATAAACCCCATGGGGGAAATTAATTGGCCAGAATGAATTCGAATATACATTTTTTTTTTTATCTCTGCCAAGAAGGTGCAATAAATCCAATCAGCCCTGTACGTTACTGGAAGGAATTTTTCAAGAAAAAAAATGAAATAGGAATATAAAACCAGACTTTTTGATTACTTCCCATAAAATTTTTTTTATATATAAGGGCTTATCCAATGTAATATATTATGATAATTCTTATTTATCTGGTATTATTGAAGGATGATGTTAACTAATGCCATCCCTATGAGCAACAACATTTTTGAAAATTAAAGCATTTTGGAAGGAAATTTTTCTATAGTAGATTATATACTGAATGGAATATTGGATGTTTCAGGGCCATTGCTATTAAGCTTTCATGCAAGAAAATGATGTCTTAGGGAGAAACTGAAATAAATATACAACAGTCTGTCCCTCTCAATGGCCCTCTATTTTAAAGTATTTTGGTGCCATTTTAAAGTAAGTTTTCTGCCTCTTCCTTTCACATTTCAATTGTCATTTCTTATTAGTTTGGTGAGTCTGATTCTCATAATTGCTTCTCCTTTCTAACTTATTGCTTCTTGTGCTTATGAGATAGGAAATTAGATAATCAAGCATGACAGACTTATATGTAAAGACAGAGTTACTAGATGCTAAGCAGGAGCCTAAGAGCTCCCCAAGGAGTTTAGTGCAGAGGATGGATGGCATCTGTTTTAGCTGCTTTTGCTTATATCTGGGTGCTTTGCTGCATCCTAGAAGATAAGTGTTTTGTAAAAGTTATCTACTGGGAAATCCAGGCATTTTTCTATACTAAAACAATCTATAGAATAGAGGGCTTCTGTCTCTTTAATTTGCAACTCAGAGTCACCACTTTGTACCATACCTGAAACATCAGCACTCACAGCCTCATTATGGACCTTCTTTGTAAGTTTAATTTCCTCCATGGCCATGATTTTGTTAAACATCACTGAAATAAAAAGTACAGCATGCAAATCTATGAGCACAAAGCTTATGAAATTGGCAGGGGAAGTGTCCCATAGTTATCAGTTCTGTCCTGTGACCTCCATTTCTGTGAAAGAAAGTATATTACCTTTCATCATGGTGATCACATAATAAGCAATAAAATGGAAGATATGGAGGAAAAAAGTGATACCTGTAATAAAACACTGACATTATTTTGCTTTTCACACTCTATAAAAACTGTAGGTCCACTGAATTACAGTCTCCATCAAATTGCTGACCCTTAAGGATGCTGATGGAGAAATTTACTGTCTTCCTCCTACCTGAAAAGGAAAGGTAGGGTTATTTCAGGGACATTTTCCTTTTTAGTGTTAACATGAAACTACTTAATCCCTAAACTATGCATAAGAAAAATATATCTTGCCAAATTTACAACCCTCTCACATTGCATCTATTCATTTCAAAATGATCTCTAATATCCAAAGATTTGTATTCTGTTATTACAGTATAATCTCTCATAATATTCCTAGGGTAAGAGAACAGGTTTATAACAAAGGATAATAATAATGTTTTTTTATTATTCCACCATTATTTTCCCAATAACTCAAAAGTTTTCACAGATACTCATTCTTATAGAGGTTGTTTATTAGGAAAATGTATCCTGTATTCACAACCAAAGGCAAAAATAATTTTTGAAACATTTACATTTATATAAGGTCAATTTTGTCCTCCTATATGACATGTTATGAAACATTTCCATTTTTAAGTTTTGTTTCCTTAGAAAGGTTAAATTCCATGTGCTTTTCTATCATATGCCCATAGGTTCCTTTGACACATACCTTCCTACTTGATATGTGTAATCACCTAAATTGTCTTAATACCTTAACATCATCTTTTTTTTTTTGCCTTTCTTATACTTTTCCTAGGACTAACCACATTTTTGAAGCATTCATTTCTCTGCATTTCCATAAACTTTAAACTTTTGATCTTCAGAATTTGTGTAGCTTTGACAGCTATTTCTTACAATATTTTGCCATGAAGCATTGATGCATCTTTTCCCTGCATATTTATAGCCATGTTCTGGCTGCCCTCCCCTCTAAGCCTGGAAACTCCCGTATTCTGGAATGCTGGTTGTTTGTACCGAGCAAGCCATGTGTCCTCCTACGTGCACATCACAGCATAAAGTATTTCCTTAACCCAAAATATCCATTTATTGACCCTTTCCATCCCAAAGTCTTAATCTTTTAAAGGACTCCCATTATCCATGAAGAATCTCAAGTAGAAAAGTTCCAAGAAAATACTTTCTATTAATATTACAAAAAAGTCTCACTTTTAAAAGTCCTAAATTTATTACTTCCATCCCTCTCTTAACATTACTAAACTTATTGCTACAACAACACAGTCTCTGCATAAATGTAACGTCTCCATTTGGATTTAGCCAGATCTATCCCAGAGGTTCAAACTACCGGAGAGGGTCAATCTACTTCCAGAGAACTACCTCTACGTCCCATGTGTCTCTGTCCATTTGGGCTGCTATAACAAAATGCCGTTAAGTCGGATAACTTACAAACAGAAATTTTTGTATTTCTCACTGTTCTGGAGGCTGGAAATCCCAAGGCTTCAGAAGATTCGGTGTCTGGTGAGGGTCCAATTTCTGGTTCTTAGATGTTGCCTTCTCACTGTGTCTTTGTGTGGTGGAAGGTGTAAGGGAACTCTCTTGGGTCGCCTTCATAAAGGCATTAATCCCATCTATAAAGGCTCTGCCCTTGTGGCCTAAGCATCCCCCAAAGGCTATACAACCTAATACTATAACCTTGAGGGTTAACATGTTAACATAAGAATTTTAGGGGGTAAAATCATGCAGACCATGGTTTTACTTTTCATTTTGCTTGCCTCTGAAATGTAAGCTATAACAGTCATGGTTCCTTATTCAATTTTGATTCCTTTTATGTATCTCTTAGTTGCTTCCTTGGCTTAATTGCTCCATGTTGCTCACCTTAAATCCCATCACCCTAGAGCACTGGGTATTTTGAAACTTCACTACTTTTTTCTTTACACTGTCATACTGCTGTGAATGGCACATTATTGATTTTGAATATTTCCTGGGCCTGGCTTACAAATGCCCCCTGTTGGATTGGTCTGAAATCAGTTACATGTTTTCTTTTACTGAATCTTTTGCCAGAGTATACCACAAAGTACTGCCTGTGCCTTTGTCCTTTACAATCAACCCATCTAACAACGGAATATTAGTAAAGAGATAGGAAAATATATCAATGTAGTTCACTATGGAAAAGAATGTATTCCTAATCATTTTATGGCTACCAATGCTGACTTTTATACTGCTCGTATTGTTATATTTTTCCATTTAATCCAAGTCATCAGCTACTCACTGAGTGCCCACAAAGCCCACAATATCAAACAACACAAACAGAGGATAGAAAAGGAAGTCATAGTCTGTCCTCAGTGATTTTACAACCCCAACAAAAGCAGGATAGAGGATGCTCCAGTATGGGAATATAAAAAAATAGAAACTCTTTTTCCTGATCTTCTAAATAAAACATAGTAGCCTATAAGCATTCTTTGAATGAGTATAGGCAAATTTGACTCTTTGTAAGTGAGTCTCTAAGATTGATTATGTGTATGACACCGGGTATACAACAAGTAGCAATTTGCAATTTTGTTGAAGAATGATTCTCAAAACTTAATATCAACATCTGAATCTCAATATACTTTTGTTATTCTCTATTCATACTGCATATGTTTTTTGGGGAAAATTATATGCTGGAGTGAAATGAACAATTTGGGAAAAAAGAAAATCTCCAGACATGTCCTCTGAAAATCTCAACAGTCTACTATATACTATACTTTTAATTTTTCTCTTCTCACACACCCTTTCTTTTGCCAGTTTCTTTTAAATAGTCTTCCCCAAATGAACTAGTGCTATGATAACAAACTTTGTTCATTTTGCGTGGCGTATCATAAGGCTGGTGATGATCATGGTTTGGCTCTATGTCCCCCCTCCCCAAATCTCACCTTGAATTGTAATAATCCCCATGTGTCAAGGGACGGACCCGGTGGAAGGTAACTGAATTATGGGGGCAGGTTTTTTCCGTGCTGTTCTCGTGATAGTAAGTCTCGTGAGATCTGATGGTTTTACAAAGGGGAGTGACCCTGCATGGCCATCTTGCCTGCTGCCATGTAAGACGTACCTTTGCTCTTCCTTTCTCTTCCACCATGTTGGTGAGGCCTTCCCAGCCAAGTGGAACTGTGGGTCCATTAAACCTCTTTTTCTTTATAAATTACCCAGTCTCTGTTATATCTTTATTAGCATCATGAGAACAGACTAATCAGCAGGGCACTCAAAGATTAATCAGACACTGCCCCTGCCATGGAGGAACTCATAGTCTTGTGTTAAGTGTCATCTGTGTGGGGTGAAGAGAAGCTAATATTAATCAATCTTATTCCATCCTGTTTAATTTCAGATATCATGAATCTATTTGGAATTTCAAAGATCTTTCATGCCTGTGTTTTGCAGGGAAAAGCTCACTTTTTTGAGATCAGAAAAAGGTCTTCTCGTTCTGCTTAAAATTCAGTATCTTTCTTCGAGTACTTTGTTTCTTCTGCATAGGACAAGGTTTATATTTTCTCTTTCCCAAATCTTATTTTAAAACAAAATTTTTATAAGATGATATATGTTAGACTTTAATCCTTTCTCTAACCCTTGGTCTGAGTTCTTATCAACTCTCATTTCATTTTGCTACTTTTTCTTTTTCGGTTCTCTACTTTTTGTGAACCTTTTCCCACAAGTCTTCACGTTAGATTTCACATTTGTATTATGCCCTTCTTAGTGACTACAGGATTAGATATTTGTTGCTGAAGTCTATTGGGCACTGGCCATGACAGGGTTAACAGTTATAATTCCCAGCACAGTATAGCTTTTTTTTTTTTTTTTTTTTTTTGAGACGGAGTCTCACTCTGTTGCCACACAGGCTGGAGTGCAGTGGAGAGATCTTGGCTAACTGCAATCTGTTTCCCAGGTCCAAACAAACAACTCTTCCACCTCAGCCTCCCTAGTAGCTGAAATTACAGGCATGCACCACCACACCCGGCTAATTTTTGTATCTTTAGTAGAGACGGGGTTTTGTCATGCTGGCCAGGCTGGTCTCGAATTCCTGACTTCAGGTGATCCACCCACCTCAGCCTCCCAAAGTGCTAGGATTACAGGCATGAGCCACTGTGCCTGACCAGTATACCTTCTTGAACAAAGAGTAAACTTATCACAAAATGATGAGTTTTGTTCTTATTTCAATGTACAGTAGGTTCATATTTACATACAGTTTAAAAGGTCTTAACTTTGACAGAAAACAATTCTTCTGGGCAGTTCTAGCACACAATTTGTCTGATGTATTATGAAAACAAGAGCTCTACATCTGGGACTGAGAAAAGGGAGTTTAAGCAGATTCACGTACAAGAAGGCTTTTAGTGGTCTTTATTTTGTTATTGCTGCCAAGGTTACTATAAAAAGAGTTCACAGTTTATCCACAGTTGTGTATTACGGATGTTCATTTGTTTTGTTCCACTACGCAGAATTCATTTTCCCTTCGAAATAGCATCATATGTGGTGGTTGGGTGTCCCACACAGGTCTCAGAATGGAGGCGAACACCCTGACTGCAGGCAGTGCTGCTGCAGAACACATGTCCTGGGGCAGGTAGAATAATGGCTCTCCAAAGAAGTCCACTTTCTAATCCTTAGAACTGTGAACGGTGATCAGATGTGTTGAAGTTAAGGATGTTGCAGTGGGAAGATGAGCATCGATTATCTGGGTGGGCCCAGTGTAGTCACAAGAGTCTTTATAGGAGAGAGGCAGAAGTGTCAGAATCACAGGAGAGGATGTGATGGTAGAAGCAGAGATCACAGAGAGATAGGGAGGGAGAAAGACTGGAGGATGCTATGCAACTGGCTTTGAAGAATGAGGAAGGGGTCATAAGCCAAAGAAGGCAGGTGGC